TAATCCCTTAACAGTCCATGGCCCATATATGGCCACAAAAAGTCGTGCTACCTTTGCGTCTGTGGTCATATATGGCCATCTCAAAAAAAAAAATACTAAACATAATTCGATTTGAGTGGCGAAGTATAAACTAAGGTTTTTGGGGTCGCTGAATCCAAATTTGAAGTCATATTTAAAAAATTCAAAATGGCGAACCCAAAATGGCGACTACAAAAATTAAAAAAATTTTCTGCATGTTGACGAATTTTTCTAAAACGTTTACTCAATCTTTTTAGGATTTTTTTGTTTTATTCAAAAACTTCAAAAATTTCCAAGAATACATATTTTTAGACAAATTGATCAACTTTTAAAAAAATACGTCTCCATATTGGATCTGCCATTTTGAATTTTGAAAATCTGACATTAGATTTGTAATCAGCGACCCCGAAAACCCCCGAGAAATGGATTTTCGTTGAAAAGCATCAATTTTAAAATTATCCGCCATATTAGGTCGCCATATTGGATCCGCCATTTTGAATTTTAAAAAAATAACCTTAAATTCCAATTCAGCGACCCCAAAAACCTTATATACATGATGAAAGCATATTTTTTTGTAAACTTTTTTTCGGACCGTTTTTAGACCACAAGCAATTTTTAACTGAAGTGCGAAGGGGTTAATAAATTAGATTATTAGGCAACATAAAACAATTATATACCCTATCTTACGCTTGGTGTTACAAAGTTGAACCTTACGCTCGCCGGATTAAATTAAACTATTTAAAACAACTATAAAATTTTATTTTTCCATTTTTAAGAATTTCAATTTATTCGAATTTTATTACTTGACAGATTGAGATTAGGTCATCTATTATCTGCGGTTTGATTTGAAAATTTTTTAAAAACTGATAATCCCGATGAAGCCAAATTATTTTCGGATGAAGGCTGAATAACAAGTTGAATGACTAGCGTTGAGTTCCCTCACGCGAGAGAATAATCGATTAACAAGAGATAAATCAATTTTTTTTGCAAACTAGGGGAATCACCATTCAAACGTCTATGACCCCTCAGTGAATCTAGATTCATCTTTGATTTAATTTTTCTTGTTTTTAGAGACAATGTATTTCAATCGAAATTGAGAACGGCCAATGGATGACGGATACTTTTTCAAAAGTTTAAAATAGATTTAAAATTAAGTGAAAAAATAAGTTAAAGTTTAAACATAGAAAAGCCCTTGTAACTTTTTTAAATATTAATATTTTTTAATCAAGTTTGGCTTATTTTCTTTAGTGTAGATCACAGTATCAAAATAATAAACATAGAAGTAATGAAAACAATTTTTTAATAATTTTTCATAGAAATTAATAACAAAATCCCCAAACATAGAAAAAATAATCTAAGTTTTCCAAATAGCAACAATAAATATAAATAAGTGATATATATACGTTTGTAAGGGTTTTCGAGACCGCTGATTACGAATATGATATTAAGTAACGAAAACTAAATTACAAAAATATAACAAAAAGTAGCAATTATAATTATAATTCGTGCGCAAGTACTGCTTTACACCGTAAGTAAAAAATTTCATATTTACTTTTAACTAAATTATTACTACAAAGTGTGTAAATATTTCTCAAGGGTTATTTTAAACTCTTTTTCAGAGGAAAAAAACAAATCGAGATTTGGATTTAACGTAGAGTACATGTTGTTAATATGTTTACATGAAAAATAAATAGGAATAGTTTCACCAATTATATTTTGTGCAATAAAAAGGTTCTGATTTACGTAAATTAATTCTGGGTATTCTAAATGGAATTTGGCGCAAAAGTTGTGGAGCGTTAATTTGAAATGGTACACTGTAAAAAAAGGGAGTTAAATTTTAACTCCCCAGGGGATTCTATAAAAGTCGCAGCCATTGGAGAGTTAATGTCAGGGGAGTTAAATAAAGAGAGTTAAAACTTGACACCCAAATGCTAACTCCCCAAGGAAAAAATAACTCGCGCGGGTGTTGATGAAGGGAGTTAGTAAATTAACTATCTTTTTTTCCAATTTATCGTTATACTTATCATAATAAGGATTAGAAAGAATTAGATTCAATTGGAAGATATAGAAATAGTCATAAAATGACACTTTTTATTATTTATTGAAACTTTATTCATTTCTGACCACGATTCAATTTTCTTGATGTCTGACTGCAATACCTTCACATCATCAAGAGAGTTAATCACTCTGTAGATTTTTAGATCATCAGCAAAAATTAAGGCTTTAGATGAGATGGCATTAGTAATATCGTTAATATATAATGTAAATAAAGGAGATCCCATTGCTGAGCCTTGGGGAACTCCTGATGAAGGGATGAAAGGATCTGATAAAAAATTTCCGACAGACACTTGGTGTGGTCTTTCTGAAAGGTAGTTCATTAATAATTGCAATAAGTTATTCGGTAAATCTAAAAGTTTCATTTTGTGAAAAAGTATATCATGTTTAATTGTGTCGAATGCTTTTGAAAAATCTAAATAAATAACATCGACTTGTAGGCCCCTTTGTAATGCACCGTTGATGAATTGTGTAAAGTGTATTAAATTAGTAATTGTAGATCTTGCTTTAATACATCCGTGCTGTTCATCGATAATAATTGGATAGAGATATGCTTGAATCGTAAATAATATAGATCACTCGAAAACTATTGCGAAATTTTGGATTTTAGCAATAGGACGATAATTTTCAATGAATGACTTATCTCCACTTTTATAAATTGGTATTATTTTCGCTGACTTCTATTCTTGTGTAAAAACGCCGGTTGTCAATGCGATATTAAATATAAACATAAGTGGTTCACATAGAACAGAAGCACAATCTCTAATTAGAAAACTCGGAACGTTATCCAAACCAGATGTAGAATTATTCTTTAGGCTTTTAGAACACTTTCTTTCGTTAATTGAAAAGGAGTATAACAAAAATAATTCTGATTACTAAAATTAAACGACGATACAGGATTATTATAATTAGATTGTCAATGTTTGGCAAAAAGGTTTCTGAATGCATTTACAATATCTTGTGGATCATCCACAACAAATTTATCATATGACATACAGTCTGGTATACTTGACCTTAGCTTGTTATTGATAATTTGACAGAATTATGTATTTTTAAATTTCTCATTTGTTTTGGAAAATTAAACATAATTTTTTAACCTTCAATTTAATGGCATAATCTACTAATCCTTTTCTATTAGTGCACCTACAAATACAGTATTATTTATAGTATAAATAGTATAGTATAGTATTTGTTTGTGCACTTGTGTACACTTTTTGCGTATTTTAGAGTGGAACATGGCGTGGGATTATTGTTTTTTAATATTTCTATTGTATTTTCATTTTTAGCTGTATATAATTATGTGTATTAAGTAACTTTTTTTATCCCACGTACATATGTACCCCTTAGAAGTACCCACTAGTTAAAAAGCCAAAACTGAAAATCCTTTACAACTTTGACAAAGAAGCGAAGACAAATCACGCATAGACTGATAAAAGCGACAGCCTCCCAAAAACGGCTCTGCTTCAGAAAGAGGGAAACGGAGAGGGTCGGAAAAACAGAAGATAAGCAAATCCATTAACACCAAATGAAGATTTGTTGTCAAGAAAGGAATGAGGGAATAGAATATACACAGAAAAAAGAGGGTTGTAATAATGCAGTTGATTAAAGGATAATAGTTGATACAGACAATGGGTAATGGATAAAAACGTACATTGTAAAGAACATCTCGATTTTCATAAAGTTTGGTTAGCGAATTATACATTCTGCTAAAAGCATAAATATTTACTGTTGTTATTAAACTTTTTTGCCAATATGCCATTGTACAAATATCTTTAATGATATAATTATTATTTTGCAAAATTAAAAAAATGTAATAATCTTAAAGTTTTAAAAATTAATTTATTCTTTAACCCACCTACGGTTTAATTAAATTGCAGAAATCGGTACCAAAATGGTTTAATTTACCCTGCATAGAAAATTTTATATCTCAACAGGCTTTAATAGTTTTTTTGGGTCGCTGATTACGAATCCGCGGTGATGATGGACACCGCGGTGTCCATTTTTGAAAATTCATAATAGCAAATCCAATATGGCGGCCCTTTTTCAAATTTTTTTTTATTTTATTGGATTCGCTTGTAAATTGTTACTCAGGGGTTTTCGGGGTCGCTGATTACGAATCTGAGTTTCAGATTTGTAATCAGCGACCCCGAAAACCCCCGAATAATTATTTTTAATCAAATCCGATAAATTAAGAAAATTTTTTTTAAATATATGCCATATTGGATCCGCCAGTTTGAATTTTGAAAATCTGATGTCAGATTCGTAATCAGCGACCCCGAAAACCGAAACCCGAAGTAATGATTTTCATATGCTAATTTCATTAACTTTTTGATTAAATGCACATTAGCCACCTATTCAAAAACTTGCTTCCCCCATAACACGCAATATTGCTGCAATATTACATTTCAATATTCGGAATATTTAAAAACAATATTGCAGCAACATTGCAGCAATATTACAATGTCCGACTTAATGAATGTTCCAGTTTAATATTGCAGGAATATTACTTTGCAATATTCAGAAATATTACAAAGGAATGTTACCAGGACATTGTTTTGAAAGTTTCAGAAATATTCCAGAGAAATACTGCAACATTTTTGTATTACAAATTTTAAGAATATTCCAGAGCAATTTACAAACAAATTTTTGAAGTATTTAGAAATATTGAAGTAAATTTTTAAATATATTTAAATAAGTTAATAATAAAGTTTTCAATTATCAAAATGATTTCATATAATCACAATATATGTTTTTAAGAATATTCCAGAGCAATATTACAAATTTTTTTTAGATATTTAAAAGAATTAGTTAGAAATATTAATTGATATTTTAGAAAGGAGTAGTAAATTATAATAATTGTTTTTCAGTACTGAATAAATCACTTGTTTATTCATTAAAATACAAACGTAATGTTAAAAGTAACGATTTCAATATTAAAAAAATATTAAATTCAAATTGAGTAATTCATTGAGTCAATTTTCTTCATCGTCAGCATCAGCTCGATTCTCGTCATGACCATTTTCATCGCCATCATTTTCATTTCCATCGTCCTCGCTTTCATCTTCTTTTTGCTTTGCTCTATGGATAAAAAATAATTATTTTACAATAAGACAATAAGATTTTAATTTTCAGTTTTGAAATAATCTAATTTAATTTCAAAAACGTAATAATAATTCATTATTTTTAAATTATAATAGAATTAGATTACCCTCCTCTGTCCAATCTCGTCTTTGCTTGAGCAAACCACTTTGAACCTGCTACATTTATATTATCTTCTGAATATTTGGAATCATGAGCTTGCACGCTACCTGAAAATAATCAATTTTTACTTTAAATGCGTTAATATTTTTGATAATAGAATAAAAAAAAGTTATTAAAAAATTTTCAGGAGAGAATTATTGAATTCGTGTTACTTGTGATTAAAAGTTTAAATATTTCTAAATATACCCTGTATCTTTTTTAAACATTCTTTATATTCTTTATTAATTTAAAAACTGATTTTTGTTTTATAAATCTTTCACTTACTGAAAATTAAATTGACAAAATTTGTGTCTGTTAGAGAGAGCTTTGGTTTTTTTCGTCCTGACCAACTATAAAGAACAGCCAATTGATTTGAAAAAAGACGACTGCAAATATTGCTAAGAATGTTATTCAAATCTCTTCCGCCAATAGAACCGAGAGCTTGGATCTAAAATTTATTATTAATATATTTAATATATCTTTTAAAAATGACAAAATAATCAGGAAAAGTAAGAATTTTTACTGGAGAAATATAATTATTATAAAATTTCTAGAACTATTACTAAAATCCTGTTTCTGCAAAATTTTTAGTCTAAATTGGGACTTTCAAAAATGATTCTCAAAATTTGTATAATTTTTTTAGATCTCTTTAATTTTTTTTATTTAGATCGGGGAATTTGCAAAATTTTTTCTAGAAATGACGGAAGTAAGGAAATAACAAAATCGAATTTTGGTAGCAATTTTGATGTAGGGGAGAGTCTCCAGTTGTGAGACACCTCCAGTTGTGAGACAGTCAATTTTTTTTAACATGCAATATTAAAAAGCAGATTGGTTTATATAAAAACATTTCTTTTTATATAAGCCAACTTTTTCGTGTACGCCGAAGCGGATATATAAACTGTTTTTGTTAAATACCAACACTGTGTGTGATAATCGACTAAAAAGCGTTTTTTCAATAATTGCAAAGTGCTGTTTTTCCAATTTAATTAATTGGAAAAGGTAAATGTAATGAATTTTCTTTTAGTGTTTTCCTTATATTTTGTGATGCAATATTGCATTGTTCCAATCTACGGTTGAAAATAATTTAATTTTCCTTTTTCAAAATAGCGCCAATTTCTGGGTGTGAGACACAGCATATCACCAGTTGTGAGACGGTGTCAACACCCATCTGGGCAGCCTAAAAAATACGACTTTGCAGGCATACTATTTAAATGTTGTTTTGATTTTTTTTCTAGTATTTTTGGGCATGTCAAGTGAAAAAAAGTCAATTGATTCAGAAGAAATCAATTTTAATGCTCTTGTTCAAGCTATTAAATTGTGTTTTTTTGATAGTCATATTTTGGCGAATAAATATTATTATTTAGTATATAATAATATATATTATTAATATATTTAATTATTTCTACTAAACATAACGTTTTATGTCAAACTTATTAAATTTTAGCAATTTTTAATGAGCGTCTCACAACTGGAGACATTTTTTTTTTTTTGAAAAAAGCGATGTGCTCAGAAAATGTATCGTAAAATTTTTTGAGTTCATCGAAACACTATACTTTCTTTTAATAAAAGTTGCGTATTTCTGTTACCTTTCCAACGGTGTATTTTATTTACAATTTCGTTTACCCGTTTACAATTTACGGGTCAAAAATGAAACCCGTCTCACAACTGGAGACTCTCCCCTACTAATATAAAATTCAGATTAAAATAAATTAATTAATTCTAACCATTTTCTTATTGAATGATTTTTTGGTCAGTTTATCATTCAATTTTTCGAATTCTTCTTGTGATGTAATAGGCAAATCTGGACAATCTTCTGAATCAAAAAATGAAACTGGTCCATCTACTGCTTCGTTAGCACGCGTTAATGTCAAATTTAGATTTCTTAACAATAATATAATTTCATTTAGTTTTGACAATGATAGTTCTTTAAAAGTAAGACCTATAGAATAAAGTAAAGTACAAATTAATATTTTTTAAGGAACATTAAAAGAAGCACATAAAATGAAATGTAACGATTTTAATAATTAATTAAATTTAATTTAATTTATCAAGAAAAGCTACATCATTTACCAGAATTTTTATCTTGGTAGGCCATACTAGCTAAACGATTTTTGTTTTTCGACTTAATTTCGTGTGGTTCTTTTTCCATAATTTTTGGGCGATCTCGTTCGAATGAGTTGGATTGAGAAGATAAGGAAATATTAGATTTTAAAGATGAGTTTGTATTGTTTCCTCCTGTAAGTGTGGCAAATAAATCGTATTAAATTTGAGAACATTTAAAAGTGGGTACAATAATTAAATATGTACCAAATTGTTTTTCTTTTGAGGTACAAGGTAATGGGATATCAATTCTTGGCACCTGGCTAATGCCGCTTTGCAAAAATGTTCTGTTATTATCTTGTTCCGTTTCTCGAGATTCTTCCGCAAAATCGCTTACATCATTATTCTTGGAGTCGGGTGAAGCTTCCAATTCTTGTATATCTATTTTGAAAAAGTTAAAATTAAATATAATAGAAATTTATAAATTATGATTATAGCGTATAATCAATTCAAAAAATAAAAAAATTCTTTAAATTATGTAATTAATTTTAATTAAATTAAAATTTAAATTGATTATTTTATTTTTTATAGGTTAAATTTTTTGTCAATAAATAAAATAAAAAATATGTGACGCGTCGCGAAGAAAAGCACCTTAGAAGCATATCGAAAATTTTACAGGTGGAGAAAAAAAGGAAAGAGAAAATCAACTTTTAGCACGAATTTCTGTTTTGTAAATCATTATTACGAAAATATTTCAGATAAGTTTTTGATAAAAATTAATTTTTAGTTCAGATAGTTAAAAAGTAATCTTTAATTTATCTGAAACAATCATAATCCGAAAATCGGTTTTTTGCTTCTTAGGTGCTTTTCTTCGCGACGCGTCACATATTTTAATGCCTTAATGATTTAAGTGCACATTTATATGTAAAACATTAAATGTGTACCAAGTCGTGAACGTTTAAAAGTAGGAGGTACAGGTATCTGTTTTTTTGATTCCAGTTTTATATTTTCTATTATTTTTGGCTTCGCTTTTGAACCCTTTTTAACAGTGGACTTGCAAGACTTCTCTTCATAGTCTGAAAAAGATCTTTTAGCTCTCTCTTGTCTAGATTTTTAAAATTTTTTATCAAAATTTTCTGCCTTATCACTGTCAACCTCTGATAATATCACAGAATCCAACAATTTTTCCTTTGCTTTTCCGAATAAATCTGTTTATAAAATTAAAAATTGAAATTAATATATGTGACGCTCCACGAGAAAAGGGACCTTATTTACTCTTGTAATAAGGTCCCTTTTCTCGTGGAGCGTCACATATATATAAATTATTACAAAATTATTCATCAGTTTTTTGTAATTTAAATTTATTTTTAATATTATTAATTATTACTTTTGTTATTGTCATTATTATTTGTAAATAATAATTATATATTTTTATGGCATAACAGTTTTAACTTTATATTTAAAAATCGTAAATTAAAATAATTGTCAATAATTAATCTGATTTTTTAAAAATTTTATTTAGATTGTAATATATTGAAACATTGGTTTGTTTAATTAGGCGACACTTTTAAAAGGAAATATTTTTAAGGTTAACTGATAGTAATAATAAAAATGTAAATGTGAGTATATAGTTAAAAAATTGAAGAAGAAGAAAATCGTAACAAAGAAAAATGTGATAAAAAATTCAGAATAAACGAGAATATATTATATTACAAACCAACTGTGCCTATAGGCTAAATTTTCAATAAATAATTATTGTTATTAAAGTTGGGTTAGAAAATCATAAAAATACAAATTTTATTATCTTTTTTTAAACTTACCTGTTGTTTTCAAGAGTTTCACAATTTCATATTTTTCCCAATTCTCTCCTGGATTAACTAATTTTTTCACAAGTTCGTTGACTTTTTGTAAATCAGTTTTTAGAGGGTAGTAACAATATTCTCCATTTTTATCGCAAATCCATTTTGTTGGAATGAGAACAACTCCATCATTAAGCTCAACCACCGAAAATGTCATATTTTTCAATTAATTAAAATTACCGACGAAAAATTCAAATTTTTTCAGTGTAGCAAAATCTCTTGACATTTCTTAAAAAAAGATGAACATCTTTAAACAGAGAAATTAATTTAACGTGAAGTATGGTAATTTAGCAATCATTAACTACAGATTTTTACGGACAACAGAATTTTTTAAAACGAAGAATCAATTTTCTTCTTTTTACCCTTATTCCTATATTCCCAGAATGATTTGAATGGAATTCAATTTTCCAATTGTTCCATAATGTGTATATATATATTATTATAGCACACTATAATAATTTTTATTTATTTTCTTTTCATTCGTTTTTCCTTTTTATAATACATATTTACAAAAATTACATTTAAAAATATTTTTAAATTATAAATTGAAAAACAATCAATAAAAATTTTTTAAATCATATTCGTAAAAATACCTCAATAATAAATATTGATTATTAAGAAATACTTCTTTAAAAAAATTGGCATAAAGATAAAAAATTGAAAGAATATATTAGTTATTTGTCACATAACAGAATTTTCCGAAAAAGCCATTTTTGATTTATAAAAAAATAACTTGATAATAAAATAAATATAAAATCATTCTCCAGACATAATTGTAAAAATAATTATAGTTGTGTAAACAATATAAATCTAACCAATATGTTTATTGTGCAATAATAATTAAAAACGAATCCTTTTCATTGTCCAAAAAATTAAGCGCGATATTTTTTTTGAAAATTAAGTAAGTGAAATTTATTTTACTGAATTTTAACTCTTTGCCGTACATTAGTTTTCCCCACCTCAGAAACAAGCAGTTTGACAGTTGAATCACGTGGAAAATATCAGGGCCGAATGTTAGTTTGATTTTGAGGTTATGTTTACATAGGATATTTATGTTTGATAAAAGTCTTTAACAATCAAATTTACCATTTTTAAATTGTAATAAATTGCAAATATACATTTACACTTTACACAAAAAATCGTATTTTTAGTGATCAATTAGTATAATTAAATATAATTTATTGTAAAATATAAATGGGTTCCAATTTTGAGAAGGTACGATACTGCAAGTTTAGACACTTACATTCTCACACATAACTAACTTATCAACACAAGCATAAACGCCTCTTCTCATTGGCTGTTCCCCCAAAAAGGACTCTAGACGACATTTCGTAACATATGAACGGCAAAGAGTTAAAGAATAAACTGAAAGAAAATAACTTCCCATTTAAGGATATGATATTTAATTTTACAATAATTTCGAAATTTTTAAAATAAGAATTGCATTTTAAATCATAAAAATGATATTTAATAATGCTGAATAATCTGAATGTCTTTTATAATTTTCATGTATTTGTACATAAAATTGCAGATTTCTTGACAAATTGTCATTGTAATCAATTATGTCAAAAAGAAATGTTTGTCATATTAGTTATTCAAATAGACATATTCGTCGATTACGTCGTAAACAAACATTGTCTGACATAAATTCATTATTGTTTTCAAATCTGCCTCCTGCAGAATCAAGTGATAGTGAAGACGATGTAGTACATGTGGAAAAAAAAGAATGTAGGTTTTTTTATAGAAACGTTGAAAATACCTGGACCAATTATTATTATGGTATACAGTTATGATAAATTTAATTAAATTTATTTTTAATTTTCTACTATATAGATTGAATTATTATACAGTGAAAAGGTATTAATTCAATTATATTTTAGTGAGCGAAGAAAGTAGTGACGAATCGTTTATTTCGGCAAATAATAGTGTAACTCCAGATGACGTTGATGATAAAACAGTAAATTGCAGTGACAGTGATGATGATTCAGAAGATACTTCAATCGATTTTGACTTCGATAGCGAACATGATGATTATAAGTCTTCTATTTCTTCAGAATACTGCTCATCCTCTACTGAAGATGAAGATTCCCAAGAAAAAGACAATAATTTTAAAAGTGTTTTGGTTCATTGGGCTTTACTATATAATATCCCTCAAGTTGCTTTGACTGCACTACTATTAATATTAGGACAATTTACAAATTATTTACTACCACGGTGTGCACGAACTTTATTACGATCACCTCGAACTGCTAATATCATTCAAATGTCTGACGGTGGAGAGTATCTTCATCTGGGATTGATACCAGCAATTCATTCAATTTTAAAAAATCGAATTTATAAGAAAACAAATTCTGAAGATAATATAAATTTGATGGTTAACATTGATGGTTTGCCTATACACAAATCCTCAAAAAAATCTTTATGGTTGATTCTATGTTCCGAAGAAAATTCCGATTCTGTACATTTAGTTGGCGCTTATTATGCGGAACATCAGCCCGAAGATATGAATGAATTTTTAGCAATGTTTAAAGACGAAGCGAAAACAGCATGCAAGGATGGGGTTAATTATGAAGGACGTCAAATTAAAGTAAACTTATATGCATTGATTTGTGATGCACCTGGTAAAAGTAAAGTTTTGTGTTTTAAGGGTCATACAGGATATAATTGTTGTCCAAAATGCGATATTAAAGGAGAAGGAATTAAACCAAAAAGCTGGAAAAAACCAAAAGAAGAAACGACGAGTATGCTTTCCTGGAATAGGACCATTTACTGGAAGAACTGATGCTGAATTTTTAGAAAATAAATATATGGGTACTTTTCAAAAGAAACCATCAATTTTGACAGAAATTCCACGTTTCGGGGCTATATCAAATGTACCAGTAGACCCTATGCATGCCGTCTTTTTGAGTATTACGAGGAAAATAATTCTACTATTATTATTCGGTCCACCTTCTGTTAGACTTGATGCATCTGAAATTGATAAAATTTCTACTCAATTAATAAAATTACGAAAGAATCAACCATCAGATTTTTCTAGGCGACCAAGAACGTTAAAAGACATAAAATATTGGAAGGTTACAGAGCTTCGAAATTTCTTGTTGTACAGTGGACCGATTGTCTTGAAAAGTATATTATTCAACAGAATTGATTCAAAAAAGAGGGAAAAAAGTAAGTAACATTTTATTGAAAAATAAGTTTTTATTATCATAACACCGGATATTAAGGGATATCCTTTTTAAATTATTTCTGACCTAAACTCTCTCTAATCTTTTTTTGCAGTCAAAATTCAGGTCACACTTTTGAACCAAGTAAACCCAACTTTTCGTGAAAATATGGATAAAATTTAACATAAAATCTTAGGTTAAATTTTATTTTTTGTTAGGATTCTAATTAAATAGTGAATTTCGAAATGGGCTCAACTCGGATTTTTTTCAAATTTCACTTTTTTGCTTTATGACATATTCACTGACGTTTTTTAAAGAGGAAAATTTCATCTGAAGTTTTCTTTGACTTTTAACCTAAGATTGTTTGTTTTCTAACCTAATGCTAAATTGGTTTTGAGTTCAAAATAAATTTATCACATTTTGAAATTAAATAAAAAATAAATAAATTGTTTCTCGATAGTAAAACATTTAATTAATATATTTTTATGATTATAATGATTAAATTTTTTTCATGAATTTCGAAAAGGGCTCAACTCTGACAACTATAATATCAATTTTTTCCAGCGCACTGTTATTAAGGACAATTCTTTTATCATTTTCATATAAAATAGCACCTAGTTACTACGAAAAAAGCTGTACTCTATTAATCAAAGCTGTTTTTTGTGTCTCCTGTAAAATTTCAAAAACCGAGTTGAGTACTTATCGAAATTCACGATTCAATTTAACTATTAAAAAATAGCAATATTGGCGCGCTGAGCCCTTCTAGTATTATTAAAAAATAATATTTCTCACAAACTTTTTGATCTAATAATTTTTCTTAAATCCACCTGTTCGACCTACCGTGTATATAAGTACACGTATATTTTGAATATGCAACTTACTTAGGTGTCCTCGTTAAATATCAGGCTATTTATTGCAATTTTATGGCTCTTCATGTGGCAATAACTATTTTCTCAAGTCCAATTTATGTTAAGATTGACAAAAATGTTGACTATGCTCAAAAGCTTCTGGAGTATTTTATTCAAACCTTTCAAATCACCTATGGAAAGGAGTTCATGACATATAATTTCCACAATCTGCTCCATATTATCGAAGACGTTAAAAAATTTGGATCCTTAGATGCTTTTAGTGCATTTAAATTTGAAAATTATATGTCAGCCGTGAAGAAGAAACTGCGAAGAAACAATAAACATCTACAACAGTTGTCAAGAAGATATTCTGAAATGCAAGATCTTGAAAAACCAAACACATTCAAATTAGGCACAAAAGTAAAGGAAGAACATTTTACTGGACCGGTAATAAATAATAATTGCATTAAAGTAACAAGACAGTACAAAAAACTGTCTTACGAACATTTTATCATTGACTGCAATAACTTGAGAGATAATTGTGTACTCCTAAAAGATAATTCCATTGCAACAATAATGAACATTGTTGAATTCGAAAAGAAAAATATTTACTTGATAGGCAAGAAACATGATATTGTACAAGACCTATATCAGAATCCAATTAGTTCAAGCAAATTGAACATTCATATGTCATTTCCTGGTGCAAATGAATTGATTTTATTGTCTTTGCAAGACTTAAAAGCAAAGTGTTGGAAAATTCAAAACAAAGGAAACTTAATAATTACTTTACCTTTGCTCCATACATTCTGTCAAGATAAAAACAATTAGTTTTATTTTTAAAACCTACATTTTGTGAGTATTTCTGCAATATATCAATGTTAAAGAATTATAGTCAATTTCAATTTAATATTATTATCTTCCAACTTTCTATTTGTCCTCTTCTTTTCTGAACTCTTTCTATTATTTTTCTCCTTCTTCTTACTGTTTGATATACAAGATTAACAATTTCAGGTAGTAGGAATGTAAATCTGCACTGAAAAAGCCTCAGAAGAAATTGTACAAATAACGCCGCAAATAATAAATGATTTGCTAAGGCACGCACAAACAAAATGGTGAACACCTGCATTAGCATTGTAAGAATTGTTATAATTCATTATCATTATTTATTTCTAATT